ACTCGAATTTCTCAACTCAACCCATGGTTGCTGCTTACTTCAGGCATTGCCCTTCTCAATGTTCGTGTTGAGCTTCCTCGTAACTCCACGTAGTCCTCCGGAGTAAATAGTTTATTACCACACTCCCCACGCTATTCGCGACCTCGCATCGCATGTGACCGACGTGCTGCATGCTCCATTGGACTGAATCTCCGTTCTCCTAGGCCACCACAGCACCATCGGCCATTGCGTTATTGGTCGACATCCTTCTGGTATCGCCTACATTGCAACTACCATTCTTATATGTAAAGACGGCCGCTTTGACGCTATTACTAGGACCTACTAGCCGCAAGTTCCCGCTCCCATCGGAGTCATGGCGGAGAGGGAGAAAGACGCGTCGACGAGTCCTCCCTCTGCCGTGCAGCCAGCACCAGACGTCGCGAATTCCCCGCCGTCAGCCTCCGAGTCTCCCGAGGCGGCCGGCTCGGGATGGGTGCGGTTAGTGCACGTGGAGATCGCAGGCGCGCGGAAGCTTCTGCCAAAGGACGGCGCCTCCTCCAGTCCCTTCTGCGTCGTGCGTGCCAACTGCGTTGCCGCTGCGGCTGACGATCCTTCAACTGCTTGCATGGAGCTTACCACATGACGCGTCAGTGGTCGCGTATTCACTGTCTATACCCTGTTCATGTCGTGTGATGGCATGGTATGGCATGGTACGGCGCAAGGCACGGCATGGCACGGATTTTCATGGCTTGTCATGGCACGGCATTACATGGCATGGAATGGCATGGCATGGCACGGCATTACGTGGCATGGAATGGCATGGCATGGCATGACATCGCATGGCATGATGGTGGGTGGCAGGTGGAGTTCAACGGTCACACGAAGCGCACGCACACAGTGGAGAGGGACCTCAACCCCGTGTGGGATGAAAAGGTGCGATAGGGGAGATGAATGCTCACACACTCGGGTTATTGCCCTTATTGCTCCTCCACTTACTGTCCTCACAAGTCACGTAACTCGTTGCATTCACCATTTGAGTGACCCACCCAATAATACATTAATGTTTGATAGAACTTTGAGTGAACATCTAGCTTGCTGGGCGGAAAACGGTTGAACCCATGAATACCTTCCCAGTCGTTATCCTCTCCATGTTCTTCTCTAATTCCTCTCTCCCCTCGCTCCCCTCCTCTTCCTCACCCCAAATCCAGTTCGTGTTTGCAGTCCCCCTGCCGTCACCCCTCAACCCCTCACTGGCCGACCACCAAGAGCCGGTCCACGTCACCATCTACACCCTCTCCTCCGCCTCCGCCCCTCTCGTTGCAGCCGGCAGTATCTCGGCCAGCTTTCGCCGCCCGGTGCTGGGCTCCGCCCCTAGTGGCGGGCTGGCAGGCGATCCGGAGAGAAGCGTGTTCCTGGGGAAGGTGCAGGTGAGCGGTGGACGCTTGGGGATGGTGGAGATGAGGGGTGGATAATGATGTTGCGATGAGAACTCAGCAGATTAGAACAGTAGGACGCAGAGGAGGGGGCCTGGGAAGATTGTGGATAGCGGGGACAGGCAGTGTGAATCTTGGTGTGCGGGACGCCCGTGTATGCGGAAAGCAGAGGATAAAGGAGGGAAGAGAGAGAGGAGCTGCTGCTCTCTTGAGCTGGTGCTCTCTTGAGCTGGTGCTCTCTTGAGCTGGTGCTCTCTTGAGCTGCTGCTCTCTTGAGCTGGTGTTCTCTCCGGTCTTGTGCTCCTTCCGGGGAGAAAGAGGCGGGAAGAACCTCCATGCCGAAAGGGGGGTAGAGGGGAGGGGTTATGTTGCAACAGGGTGATGAGTCTAGGGAGGGGCGAGAGGAGAGCGGGCAGGTGAGGAGGGGGGTGTGGAGGCAGGGTGTGCAGCGTGGAGCACCTGTGAGCGCCTCTTCCCCTCGTCCGTCCCCATCCCCAGCATTTCCTTCCTATCTCTGCCCATGCCCCTCCCCCATCCCTCTGCTATCCCCCTCTCCCCGTCTCCACGCCCCACTGGCCCCTCCAGGTGCCCGGTCCGCATACATGCCCCCACGCCAGGGCATCCCTCTCCACCCTCTGCACCCCTCGCCTGGCTGCCTCTTGAGCGCCGCTCCCTTGTCAACCGCTAGTGCGTGGGCGACGTGGGGTGAGATGGGGGAGGGTGGAGGGGAGGGAGGGGGGGGTGGGGGATGGAGGGGAGGGGGTTGAGGGAAGGGAGGTTGAAGGCGCAGGGCGAACTGGGTGAGATGAGGGGGGGGGAAGGGAGGGAGGATGGAGCAGGGGGTGGGATGGGGGGAAGGGGCAAAGGCTGAATGCAATCCGCCTCACCACTCTCTGCTTCGCCCGCCCCACATCCTCTCGTGCCCCTCCCCCCACCCATGCGCCATTGCCCCTCCCCCCACCCCCATGCGCCATTGCCCCTCCCCCCCACCCCATGCGCCATTGCCCCTCCCCCCCACCCCATGCGCCATTGCCCCTCCCCCCACCCCATGCGCCATTGCCCCTCCCCCCACCCCATGCGCCATTGCCCCTCCCCCCACCCTGCGCCATTGCCCCTCCCCCCACCCCATGCGCCATTTGCCCCTCCCCCCACCCCAGCACCGGCCCCCCATCCCCCCCCACCCATGCGCCATTGCCCCTCCCTCCCCTCCCACCCTGCCCGTGTCCTACCACCACGTGCCAGCCTCATCCATCTCCCTCCCCCATGCTCCTCCCAATCCCCTGATCCATCCCCCCCCCCTCCCCCCCCCCCCCCCCCCTTCCCTCTCGGTCCACCCCCACACCCCATGCTCCACGCTCCCCCGCCAACCCCCAGCATGGCAGTGTCCTACCAGGACGTGCCAGCCTCGTCCATCAACCCTGACTGCCTGGACGAGTTCGACCAATGCGAGGCCGACAGGTGGCACCTCCCGCCGTCCGCGTCCAGGTCATCTTTTTCCGACGATGAAAACCTGCCCACAGCCCTGTCCCACCAGCTCTCCCGGCACAGCAGCCGCAATGCTGCCTCGCATTCCTCCTCGCCTCCCACCTCTCTCCCCCTTCCCACCGCTCCCCCCACACTCCCCACTCTCCCCACCCTCCCCACTCTCCCCATTCTCCCCACGTTCCCCTCTCTCTATACCTCCTCCCCTCTCGCCACCATCGTTTCTTCTGGCGAGCCTCCCCCTCAGCCTGTTTCACCCTCCTCCACCGCCCTCTCCCCGCTGCTTCCCCCTGCCTCCGCCCCCCCCAAAGCACTGCCCCATGCCACTGTGCCTGCTGAGAAAGCGGGGCAAAGGGCGAGGGGCTAGGGATTAGGGGGGGAGGCGACAAGGAGGCAGATGAAGGAAAGGGAGAGCGGGAGGGGGAAGGGGAGGGGGAGGGAGAAGAGGAGGGAGAGGAGGAGGAGGAGGGGGAGGAGGAGGGGCTATTGGCAATGGAGCCGATTCTGTTTGTGCGAGTGGTGCAGGCGCGCTCACTGCTAGGCCTCGATCTCAATGCCTCCAGTGACCCTGTGAGTAAGCTGCTTGATGCGATCGGATATGATACGATCTGATATGATACGATTTAGTACTGCACCACTGCATGCATCTGCGATCCGAACTTTTCTCAGTGCCTCCGCTCCAATCCGTCTTCATTCCCTCTTACTCTCGCTCTTCACCCTTGCCCCGCAATCCCCCTCTCACCCTTCTCAGTCGGCCTTTGCATCTTCCTCTCACCACCCACTCTCTCGTCCCTCCCCCTCCCTGTGCGTGTGCATGCCAGTTCGCCATGGTCACGGTGGGCAAGGTCACGGCACGCACGCGCACCGTACCAGATGATGTCAACCCAAGTGGAACCAGGTCACCATCTCTTCACTCTCTCCTGCCTCTCTCACCCTCCCCTGGCCTCCTCAAAAACGGTCTCACCCGCATGGGGAAAGCCCGCACGGGAAGGCCCCGTGACGTCATTTGCGCTGCTGCAGAAAGCCCGCACGGGAAAGCCCGTAGCAGAAAGCCCGCAGCAGCGCAAATGACATCAACCCCAAGTGGAACCAGCTCTTCGCTCTTTGCCACTGCTCCCCCTTCCTGCATCTCCATATGCCTCCCCCAACTCCTTGCACCTCTCCCCATTCACCCGCTACGTCCTTCCCGGCTCCTTTCCTCCCTGCAGGTCTTTGCCATCGGCCAGTCCGCCACGACCTTCTCTCTCGCCAATCCCTCCTCTGTGCTTGAGATTGTGCTCAAGAACGAGGTGTGTGTGTGTGTGTGTGTGTGTGTGTGTGTGTGTGTGTGTGTGTGTGTGTGTGTGTGTGTGTGTGTGTGTGTGTGTGTGTGTGTGTGTGACTGCTTAAACAAGGAGAGTGTGTGTGTGTGCGTGCCCTAGAGCAAGAAGACTGCACATGTGCAAATGAGCGAGCTTCACACCCCTGGCATTATCACTATGCAACCACTCTCTCTCTCTTCGCACTTACAATCCTCTCATGCACCCGTTTCAAAACTTTGCCTGTATTCCCCCACCGCTCTCCCACTCCTTCCCATCCATCTCCTCTCCGCTCCTCTTTTCCCCCTTTTTCCCTCCACTCCCACCCCTTCTACCCCATCGCCCATCAATCAGAACCGTCTCATGCGGGACTCCTTTTTGGGAGCCATCTCGCTGCCAGTTACCTCTCTCCCACACCGCGTTCCCCCTGCGCCCCCTGTTGACCCGCGCTGGATTCGCCTCGACAAGAAAGCTGCCAGCGCCCCTGCCAGCGCTGCTCGCAGCACCGTCAAAGGTAGGGCTGCTGATGCGTGCTAATCTAGTGCAAATCATAACCGCTAGTGCATGCTGCTGGTCCCTTTCACAATTCACACCCGTCCCTCCATGCTCCTCAATCCCATCCCTCCATCTCATTCCTCCCTTCACAATCCCTCCCACCCCACTTCCCCATGCATTCCCTCTCGTCACAAACTCTTCCCCCCTCTCCCTCCCCTCGTCTCCCCCGTCCTCGACCCCAGGCAAAGCTCAGGTGGAAGTGACCACAGGCACTCACAGCGTTCAGCTCGCGTCCGCTTCTTCTTCACACTCAACCCCTCTGCCTCCCTTGTCCTCCAACCATCCCACCCCACCCCACCCCTGCCTTGCAGGCGAGCTGCAAGTGGCGGTGTGGATAGGAGTGAGGGCGGACGAGCAGTTTGCAGAGGCCTGGCAGTCGGACGTGAAGGGTGTGGCGCACCACCGCTCGCGCACCTACCCCTCTCCACGCCTCTGGTACCTGCGCGTACACCCCTGCAAGCTGGAGCACCTCCCTGTGCCGCGTGTTGCACCCAACCTTGTGAGTTCTGAGACGTCTAAAAGGCCACGCCTCTGGTATGCCTCTGGTACCCCTCTCCACGCCTCTGGTATGCTTTTAGTACCCCTCTCCACGCCTCTGCCTCTGTTTTCCCTCTCAAGCTGATATGCCTCATCTAACAGCTTGTGCCCGCATGTGCTCTCATGCGCTCCCTCTGTGCTCTCATCTCATGTGATGGTCACTCTCTGGATCAGAGCCTATGTCGTTCCAATCCCCTTCTTTCCCCCACCCATCATCCCTGCTCCCTCCCACCAATCAGGTGGTGCGGCTACGAGTGCCCTGCGGCATGCAGGTGCAGACAGGCCCCGCCACCCACCGCACTCCATCGCTGCCCGGCGAAAGCGATGCGGGCGGCGGGGTGAGCGACCGCAAAGCGAGCGGCTGTAGCGACGATGAGGATGAGGATGACGAGGGGGAGGAGGGCGAGGAGGGTGAGGAGGGGAGGCGGGAGGAGGAGGGGGGAGTGGGTGGAGATGAGGGTAGCGGTGGTGGGGGGAAGGAGAGGAGCAGTCCACCCAAGGGAACAGCGGCGGGTGCGATAGCTAGCCCACGCACAGGCACTGGCATTCCTGCTGTCACGGGCACAGGGACAGACGTGCCGGCCAGCCCACGAACAGGCACAGGCACGGGCACAGGCACGGGCAAAGGCACGGGCTCAAGCATGGGCGCAGGCTCGGGCACAAGCGAAGAGGCAAGTTCAGGTGGCCTGAGGCAGCGGCTTGGGCAGCGGTTGCAGAACAGGCAGGTCAACGTGAGCAACGCCATGGGCAATGTGAGCAACGCCATGGGCAACGTTAGCAACGCCATGGGCAACGTGAGCAACGCCATGGGCAACGTGAGCAACGCCATGGGCAATGTGAGCAGCGCTATTGGCAACGTGGGCAGTGCTATGGGCAGCATGCGGAGCCTTGGGGGCAGCCTGCGCAACATAGGCGGCAGCATGCGCATGCCCCCCGTCTTCCCCCTCCGCAGGGCCGCAGCAGATGCGGCCAAGACAGGCGCAGGGCAGGGCGCAGAGCAGGGCACGGGGCAGGGCGCACAGCACGGGACAGGGCAAGGCCCAGGGGAGAGGACAGGTGCAGATGGGGGTGCAGGAGGGGAGGAGGGGCGGGAGGAGGGCGTGTGGGTGTGGGGCGAGGGCGATGAGCAGGTGCTGGTGGTGGCAGAGCCGCTGAATGGGCACCTGCACGTGCAGATCGTGAATGTCATCTCTCCCTCCTGGGTAAGTTGTGAGCCCACTGTCCACCCATCAAGGTCAGAGCAGCTCAAAGGTCACCTGCAAGGGCAAGGGCAGATTGCCCCTGCCACCTCACCTTGTTGAGAGAAACCACACCAGTTGTGAGAAAAACAGGCTGATCACCCTGTTCTTCTCCCACGCACCCTTTCGTCTCCCCCTACTCACCACATTCCTCCTCAGAACCCCTCAACACCCCGCCTCACCCCCCCACACCCCTCCCTGCACGTCCCCGCGGCAGGAGGAGGTGGTGGCATCAGCAGGCGTGCTCATCTCCTCCATCCCCGCCCGCATCACCCTCGACCCCCTCGAACCCATCTCCATCGCTCTCCAAACCACCGCCTCTGCCACTCCTGCAGCCATCACCACTGCAAACCGCACCTCCTCTTACGACTCCCTCGAATCTCCCTCTAAACCATCCCCAGCCCCCACTATCGCATCCTCCCTCTCCACCTCCTCCCTATTCCACTCCTCCTCCCCTCCCTCCTCCTCGTCCTCCCCCACCCCCCCTCCTCTCCCTCCTCCTCGCCCTGGAAGGCGGCCACCACGTATTCACCCAACACCCTCGCTTCCATTCCTCCCCGCTCCCCGCCGCCCGCTCCCTCTACCCGCCGCCCATCGCGCGCCTCGAGATCGGGATCATATCCGCGAAGAATCTGCAGCGGCCAGTGCCGAGCTCGCTGGGGAGTGCGGGGATGGATGTGTACGTGGTGGTGCGGTATGGCGGCATGTGGGCGCGCACCAGGACTGTCAGCGGGGAGGTCAACCCTGTGTGGCGTGAGCAGTTTAACTGGCCTGTTTATGACCTCTGCACCGTTGTCACCATCGGTGTGTTTGAAAACAAGTAAGTGTGTGTGTGCCCACGATGTGCCATCACTGCTCCCTCCCCTTCCCCTCATGCCGTGTCTTGCAATCCAGAAACCCCACTTCTTCCCGTTCTCCACTTCCCCATCTCACGCACAACCACTCATATTTCCCTCTTCCCCGTCTCATCTGCCCATCCCCCATCCCCTACTTCCCCCACCGCACCCACCCCCCACCAGGCACAACAGGGGAGTGACCACGTCAACAGACACCCCTCTGGGCCGCATACGCATGCGCCTCAGCGCCATCGACTCCACGCGCGCCCTCTCCTCGCACCAGCCGCTGCTGTGCCTCACCAAGAAGGGCGTGAAGCAGCTGGGCCAACTGCACCTCGCGCTGCGCCTCTCCCCCGCCATCCCCCTCTCCCGCCTCGCCGCCACCTACATCCGCCCCACGCTCCCCCCCGCGCATTACCACTTCCCCATCCCCGAATCCCAAGAACCAGCACTCTTACAGGAGGCTGTGGGCCTGCTGTGTGCGCAGCTGGGAGCATTCGACCCGCCGCTGCGAGCCGAGGTGGTGCAGTACATGGGGGAGTGCGATGAGGACGTGCTGTCAGTGCGGCGACTTAAAGCCAACCTGCAGCGGATCAAAATGCTGCGGGCGCGGTTCTCTGCCATGGCTGCTGGGTTCAAGGCCGTGCGGTCGTGGGAGAGCCTTCCTCTCACGCTCGCCGTGCACGTGGCGTACGCTTTCGCACTGTTCTACCCGTCCTTCATCCTCCCCACGCTCTTCTTTCTCCTTGCCTGGCAACTGCTCGCCTCCTCCCCCACTCGCCCCCTCGGCCCGCCTCTGATGGATCTGAAGCTTTCGCAGGGGGAGGGTAGGGAAGGGGTGGCGGAGATAGGAGGGGAGGAGGGGGATGATGGGGATGAGGAGGACGAGGAGCAGGAGAAAGGTGGTTCGGGTCCGGTGGCGTACTATAAGGTATGAGCTGGGCATGGGAGGATGCGGTCGTGAGATACTCTTTTATCTCATTTGTACCGCCATCATGGTTCATCAAACCCATTGCAATCTTCCGTTTCTCCCTCACCCTTCCTTCCCTCTTTCCCCTTCCTCCTCCCCCGCTCTGCCCTGCTCTGCTCTGCTCTGCTCTGCTCTGCTCTGCTCTGCGCTGCTCTGCCCGCCACAGGCCCTGAGGGCCAAGTACGACAAGCTCATGGACGGTGCAGGGAGGGTGCAACGGGGCCTTGGGGTCATTGCTGACGCAGCAGAGAAGATAGAGATGCTGCTGACGTGGCGAGATCCAAGGTGAGGTCTAACCAATGCCTTCTCCCTCATCATTCCTCGCACCATGTCCCATAAATTTCAGACTCCTCACTTCCTGTCTCTTTCCCTTTCCAGATATCACGCACCCACTGTCCCTTAATGCCACACCGCTGTTCTGCACTCTCTCCCTCATTACCCCTCCACCCTCACCCCCACCACAAGTCTTCCCCTCCCTTCGCCTCAGGGCCACACTCCTGCTCATGTCACCGTGTGCAGCGCTCATGCTGCTGCTGCTCTTTTGAGCCTCCGTGATGCCCCTCTCTGTTCATCCCACCCAAACCACCCCTGCTCCCTTTCCCAACCCCTCAGAGCCACGTTCCTGCTCATGTCAGCGTGCACGGCGCTCATGGCTGTGCTGCTGCTGCTGCCCTTCCGCCCCGTGGCGCTAGCAGCGGGCTTCTGGGCGATGAGACACCCGCGCCTGCGCCGCATCACGCCCACCAAGGTCAAATGCTTCCTCGCTCGCCTGCCCACGCGCGCCGACACCATTTACTGACGACTTCTGAGGCACCTCAAAGGGCGGACTTCTGGCACTCAGGCACCCGCAGCTGCGCCGCTCACCAAGCTCAAGTCCTTCCTTGCTCGCCAAGCTCAAGTCCTTCCTTGCTCGCCAAGCTCAAGTCCTTCCTTGCTCGCCAAGCTCAAGTCCTTCCTTGCTCGCCCTCCCACCCGCGCCCACACCATCTACTTTCAACACTTGAGGCATCTCAAAAGGTGGGCTTCTGGGCGCTCAGTTACCCACACCCGCACCTGCGCCGTATCACGCCCTTCAAAGTCAAATGCTTCCTTGCCCGTCTGCCTACCTGCACCAACACCTGAGCATGTGAGCAAGGTGTGGTGTGTTTGGGTGTGCGTGTCAGTGCACTGCTGCAACTGCTGCTGTCAGTATGTGTGTGAAGGGAGTTGGTGTGTTACAGTGCAATGTGAGTGGTGATAGTGTTGCCTGGGTAGAGGGGTCATGGGCTGCAATGTGTTTGTACGAAAAGCACTCAGTGCAAGCAACACTCAAGTGGCATGCCAACAGCTTTCAAGCTGAAGCGCCATACCTTCTGTTACAACACTAATTATCTAATCACATGGTATGTACAAGTATAACATACAGGTATGTACGGTATATATCTGCCTCGGAGCCAACTACCACCAAGACCAAGAAGCATCCTCTCAACCTCAACACCTCTTCACTCAGCCACCAATCCTGGCCTTGCAGTCGCTGCCTGTAGTGCCTGTCCCTGCCTGCCCCACATGCTCCATGCCACCACTGCCCACACCAGTCACACTTGCGGCACCCACGCCTCCCTTTGCCATCCGCTCCTGCCCGTCCAGCTGGCACTCCTTGAGCTGTGTCTCATACCCCATCCCCCTTTTAAACTGCTGCGCTAAGCCATCCACAGCGAGCTCAGGGCCTGTAAGGTCAGCTCGCAGCTGCCGCCTCTCCTCCAGCTGCACCCCATACCGCTGCTCCACCGCTGCAGCCAGGGAGGAGGGGAAAATGAGAGCGAGAGAGATGGCAGAGGGCAGAGAGAACAGAAGACAGGGAGTGCGCACGAGTGGAGTGAGGGAATGGTAGAAATTTGAGAGTTCGCTAGAAGGGAAGGGTGAATGACGGCTAGCATCAGTGGCAAGCACGGGCCTACTTCATAACAAACCAGCAGCACACCTTTAGGCAGTTCGGGTTTCAGCTGCCCGTCAGCAAAGAACGCCCCCATGAGCTGCGGCACACCCAGCGGCAGTGTGTCTCCCCTATCAAACTGCCAGAAGTGCCACGTCTTGCCAAACGTCTTCACGAGCTTGCTCATCACAGGCAGCTCTGCTACTGCCGGCATGCCCGGCATGATGAGCAGCCCGCTTTTGACCTCATACTCGTGCGAGTGCCACATGCGCTGCTCGTCCTCAGGCAAAGACAGGAAGATCTTTTCTGAGACGATGAACTCGACACCGATGAGGCGCGCGGAGGGCTGGTCGGAGTCGTAGACGAGGCACTGGTGCACGTCCTCGCTGACGTGCGAGCAGTAGTGGTGCGCCTCGACTTGTCGCGACATGTCGTTGGCATAATAGTGGAACCTGGTGGGGTGGACGGTAGGGGGACAACGAAGAACAGTACACGGATAGGCTGTTTGCATGGTTGCATGAGGGGGGCTGATCAAGGAGTCGTAGAGGAGGCACTGGTGCACGCCCTCTGACGTGCGAGCAGTAGAGGTGCGCCTCGACTTGTCGCGACATGTCATTCGCGTAGTAGTGGAACATGGCGGGGGGTGGTAGGCGGGAATGGGCAACAGTGCATCATTAGGCTGTTCGTATAATCGCATGGTGGCCACGGCTCATCCCAACTCATCTCAAAGACAGCAACGCAAGTAGTCGGACGAGATTGATGGTTCTGCAAGGAGACTCGAGCGTGTACTATCCGAGCAAGCAAAGGGGCCAAATATTTTTTCTAAACCTTGAAGGTTACGCAGCCAAGACCGGTTTAGGGTCCTTTAGGGTAATCTAGAGCACTGACGCGCAGAGGTGTTGGCCGATCTGGCGGATGGGGCCGAACTGCTGCACGGCGCTCGCGCCCGTCTCCATCACCCTCGTCGTCACGCTCTTCGCCCCGCCGGGGACGTCCGAGAACTCTGAGGCCGCCTCCCCACCCGTCGATAACGGCTTGTGCGCCGCCATGATGACGTTGCAATGCGCTCGCGAGAGCGATTTGGATAGCACGGCGCGGAAAGTAGCGCAGAATGGCGTTGACGGACAGGACGGACAGGAAAACACAGCGTCGCACGCTTGCGAAGGAAGCTGATCACTATATGCAGCAGGTCGAGGAGTCAAGAACCTGATCTCCCTCCCGGGGAGGTAGATCGGGAGATGGTTCACGGCTTACCCCGAAAGAGCTGCTCCAGCAGCGTGCGAGCGGAAGCGCCCGCAGAATGGCGTGCATGCATGTGAGAATGTGACGTTGGATGTGCACGTGGTGGGGATTGGGTTGGTGGGATGGTTGGAGGCGAAATGTGGGTGGACATATGATCACATGAGGGACGAGGTGAGTGTACGAGGGGGAGGGGCCAAAATGCCCGTTTGCAATTACATGACGACATTTGTGAATTGGCGAGCCGCGAATCGCGATGCGTGGGATCATAATCCGCGAGTTGGCGTCGAGGTTCAACGTATATGCACTTGCAAATAAAGCAGCACACACTACAAATACAATTTATACAATATGAGCGCCAGTTCCAGAATACCATCACATTAAAGCAATGCTATCTGCGACCTCCAGAATCTCCCAACAGCAGCATGCTGTCCGATTCGGAAGCTGCCTCAGATTTAACTCCACCTTGTTGCTCTTGGCTTGCATTCGCTCCACCTCCAGACAGCCCATCTTGGTGCGCAAGCAGCCCATCACTAGGCAACGATCCCACCAAGACAGGAGGCGACTGTCCCTCACATGCCGAGAGCACCGCATCACCTGCACCTGCTCGCAGCGATCCATCAGACTTCCCCGGACACTCCACTGGCACCACCTTGCTGCTCCCCTTCTCCCTCCCCTCCTTCCCCAGCAGCAACCCATTCTCACTGTCAGCCACAGCACCATCCCCATCAACCCCATCCCGCACACCAGCCCCACCGTCCTCCTTCCCCATCCCTCCCTTGCCTGCCGCCCCATCAAACCCGCCCTCGCCCTCACTGCCGTCATCCTCGTCCATGAGAGCCACGTCTGGCAGGCCCGGGTCCTGAGTGAACTTGAGCACGCCGTGGTGCTTCGCCCACATGAGCAGCGGGTACATCAGCAGCCCCACCACAGCTGCTATGGAGCTGGCAGGAGGATGGGGCAGGGGGGCGGCAAGGTGCATGGAGGAGTAAGCAAGAAGGGGTGGGTAAGATTTTCGGATTGAAGGTCCCATCATGAGCAGCGGGAGCAGCAGACCCAGCAAGGCTGCTATGGAGCTGCCAGGGGCATGAGATGGGACACGGGACGGAAAGATGCATGGAGAAGCAGACAATGGTGGGACGGAAGCTCCGGGAGTCAGATCAGGGGGGGGGGGCGGGGTTGGAGGTGTGCGAGAGAGCGTGTGTCGGGACGGATGGGGGTGGGCAGGTAACAAGGGAGGATGTGCTCCGGGAGTGGGATCAAGAGGAGGTTGCGGCAGCGCGAGAGAGTGCGTGTCGGGACGGTGGGTTGGGCAGCTAGCAATGGCGAATCCACACCTCTCGATGAGGAACATCACATATCTCCCACCTCACGCCTCATGCCTCAACATCTCACACCTCCCACCTCCCACATCCCAGCCTACACCCCACACATTCCATCCCACGCCCCACACCTGACGCTCCACACTGCAAATCTCACCTGACAATGACGGCCTGCCAGGACGCGAGGGCCATGACGAGAAGAGTGCTGCTCCCATGCGTGTTCCGATTTGACTCGTAACACACCTCACACCCACACCCACACCCACACCGCAAACCTCACCTGACAATGACTTTCTGCCAGGACGCGAGGGCCATGACGAGAAGAGTGCTGCTCCCATGCGTGTTCCGATTTGACTCGTAACACACCTCACACCCACACCCACACCGACACCGCAAACCTCACCTGACAATGACTGTCTGCCAGGACGCGAGGGCCATGACGAGAAGAGTGCTGCTCCCATGCGTGTTCCGATTTGACTCGTAACACACCTCACACCCACACCCACACCGACACCGCAAACCTCACCTGACAATGACTGTCTGCCAGGACGCGAGGGCCATGACGAGAATGAGTGCTGCTCCCATGCGTGTTCCGATTTGACTCGTAACACACCTCACACCCACACCCACACCGACACCGCAAACCTCACCTGACAATGACTGTCTGCCAGGACGCGAGGGCCATGACGAGAACGAGCAGCAGGGAGGGCGGCAGGCACAGCAGCGCTGCTCCCATGGTGTCCACGGGGACCCTGTGGGGTGAGAGGCAGCGCACGGGAGAGAGAAGCAGTGAGAGGGCGAAGCAGCGGTGGCCATTCGTGGTCAGGGAGGAGCGAGCATGGAAGAAAAAAAAAACGTGAAGGGAAACGTGGGAGACACGAATCGCAGCCAAATCCAAATTTAGACCACATCTGGATAACCAGGGGAAGAGAAGAACACTGGGGACGTGTTGTGAAAGCACGGCTGATTGGAGCAATGTGGATGGTTGAGAGCGCACGAGTGCATACCTGTACGGCCGGTTCAGGTCAGGCTGCGTGACCCGGAGCGCCACAAAGGCGGCAAACTCAAGCAGCATGCCGAAGCAGTAGAGGAAGTTGAGGAACTCGACGATCTCCTGAAAGCTCATCCACGACAGCAGCACGATGCCCGTGGCGCTGCACACGATGCCCAGCACGGGCGTGCCGTGCCGCGACCGGTACGTGAAGACCTCGGGCAGCAGGCCTCGCTCCGCCATCCCCAGCAGCTGAAACGCGTCGCTGCGTGGGGGGAGGGGGGGGGGGGGAGGGGGGAGGGAGGGACAGAGGGAGGGCGGAGGGGGGGAGGGGGGGAGGTACGTGAAGACCTCGGGCAGCATGCCCCGCTCCGCCATTCCCAGCAGCTGAAACGCATCGCTGCGAGTGTGCGTCGAGGGAGGGAGGGAGGGAGGGTGGGTGGGAGAGTATGGGGCAGTAGTGCTGTATACATGCAGTTGCGAGAAAGAGGGAGTGGCATGGGAGATGAGCAATCGAGATGAGGGTGGTGGGATAAGAGAGTGCAGAACTACTGGTGCCATATGGAAAGTCCACCCACTCATGTCCACCTCAAACGTGCTCATGCGGGAAAGCCCAGCCGCACACACAACCCACCAGACGAACCAGCCAGCCGGCCCCCCAGTGACATTTCAGTCAACTCAAGGATCAATTCCCGCCCCCGACGTGCACATCTCCCCCCCAAACGCACACACCTGCTCATCTCCGCCTCAAATGCGCCCATGTTGGACAGCGCAGCGGCACACGCAATCCACCAGGCGAGCCAGCCGCCCCCGATGACGCGACCCACCACGGCCAGATACCCGTCGTCCCAGCCGTCCGGGGAGAATGGCACGGCGCCTGTGCCTGCGAGCAGGGGCACGAGGTACGACACCACCACCAGCACCACCGCCCCCATCAGCGCCCGCGGGAAGGTGCGCTTCGGCTCCTCTATTTCGCCTGCTAGCGTGCTGTGCAGGGCAGGATGGGGAGGGAAGGGGGGAAAGGGGGAGGGGGTTGGGTGGGGGGTGTGCGGTGCGTTCACCCAGAATGACGCACAGTCAGCAGGAGAGGGTGGAGAGGATGCAGAAAGGAGGGTTGATGATGAGGAAGGTTGAAAGCAGCAAGGAAGACAGCCTGGGTGAAACAAGACAACAGCGACTCCCACCTGGCTGAGTGAGTCCACACCTGATGAAATTGCTTCTGAGACGACTCAAAAGCAACTCCAACATATATAGAGTCCCTACGGTAGAGAGTTCCAGCAGTTGAGAGAAGCTTTCTTGATGGAGCACCCACCTGACGGAGTCCCAGTAGTTGAGGTTCCAGAAGAGTGTGTTGAAGTACCCCCGCCACTGCACGCGGTTCAGATCCACCACCAGCCTGCAATGCCACCCATGCACGCACACCCATACACCCTCGCAAGCATCCCGCAAAACAGTGATCCAAGAATTATACGCAGGGCTGGGAAGTTCCTGCAACCTGCTGGTGGAGCAGCATGAGGATTCGCGTGATCATTCCCACCACCCCTCCTATGCTCTTCTCCCCTTCCCTTCCCTTCCCTTCCCACCCCTCCCTTCTCCCCCCCTCTTCCCCCCACTCGCCTCCTGCCCTCCGCTGCCATCAACTGCCCTCCCATGACCTCACCCGCCCTTTCCTGCCATTCCCTTCCCCTCCTGTTCCCTCCCAACTAACCCTGCTGCCCAGCAACCAAGCCCCCTGCCCCCAATGACGGACCAGCGGGCGGGTTGGATCTTGGGGATGGCGAGCAGCGCCATGACCACGAAGGGCAGCACCACCTTCCTTACCATCCCCTCTCCTCCCCCCACCAGCCAACCCTGCAACTCACCAACCAACAACTCTCCCCCCCCTCTTCCCCCCCCAATGACGGACCAGCGGGCGGGTTGGATCTTGGGGATGGCGAGCAGCGCCATCACCACAAAGGGCAGCAGCCCGAACACTGCCAGCGCGATGGCAGTGGCGCCCACTATCGTCAGCCCGCGGTAGTTCACGTACGTCAGCACCTGGCAGGGCGGAAGGGGGACAGTCCCAGAGAGGAAGGATTGAGGAGGGCTCAAGTTTCAGAACGCCTCAAAGATCGCCTGGTACTTCACATAGTGAGCAGCTGAACTGGGGAAGGGGGTCAGAGAAATAGACTTGGGTCGCCTGCTGGGCTGGCGTCAAGAAACGAAGTGGTGACAAGGGAGTGATGCTCAAGCACCAGGGAGGGGAAATGGCGAGTAGACGCAGCATCAGGTCAAACCAGACCAAGACGCACCAGAGTCATGGCAAGCAGTGCCGCCATGCGAGGCAGGCCTCCGCCAAACACAGGGAGCTCGCGCTTCAAGTAGTCGAGGAAGAGCAGCGGGTAGAGCGAGTTGTCTATCACGCCACTCAGCCACTTCCACCACCCCTCCTGGAAGCCCCAGAAGGGGCCAAACGCCGCTGACACCCACACCACGTAGCCCCCGTTCTCCGGGAAGGCTGTTCCTAGCTCTGCGGTGGTCAGGGCCTCTGGCACGCTCCAGATCTGAAGGGTGTGCATGGGGGAAGTGGGAAATAGCGGAGCAGGGAATGGGGGGTGGCGGAGCGGGAAGGGGGAGGAGGGGAGGGGGAAGAAGGGGGGAGGAGAGGGAAGGGGGAATGGGGTGGATAGTGAGTAGTGAAGGGGTGATGGGAGGAAGGAAAGCGAATGGCAAGCGGTGAAGGAGGGTGGGTGATGGGAGTGAGTGGTGGTGGATTGGCGTCTGACATGGAACACTGCCCAAGGGGAGAAGTCAAATGGATGTGCTGTGAGGGGGTTGGTGCGAGATGCGTGCGTGGTTGGTGGAAATGAGAGATGAAAGTTGCGGAAGGTGGGGAGGGTGCGGAGGCGAGAGGCAGTGCGCACGAGGGGGAAGACGGTGAAGCCTAGGATGGCAAGCAGAGGCCCGCCGTACTTCACGGCGTCCTCCACGCCGTATGGCCCGCCGGACACCTGCACGCACGAACGGAAACGAGAAGACGGGAGAACAATATCAAGAAAAGGGGAGAAGAAGCAAAAGTAATGTAAGGAGTACAAATGAAGAGCTTTTGCCTTCGTCTGAACACGCATGAAATGCAAACCTAACCTCTCGTCCCATCAAATAAAAAATCGTGCCCTGCCATGGTGCTTGGCTGACCTCGAAGAAGATGAGCGCGATGAGCGGCAGCAGCGTCAGCTTCTGGCCGTGCGGCCCGTGACTCTTCTCAAACTGCTCGTGCGCCGAATCCTGCCGCACACACGGACGCGCAATAACGCTAATCGGCTCAGTAACGGACGATTTTAACTAGGACAACCAAGTATTGCGATATTAGGTCGTCGAACGGGAAAACGGCCTAGTAAAGGACTGTGCGGTCGGATTGCGGGACAAGATCGCGGGTACCTCATGCGAAAGCGGAGCTCCCTGCGTGAGGCGCTCCTTTTCCCCCGATAATTGCGACCCCATCGCTGGTTGCGCGCGGCACCGCGACGCCTGGCAGTGGAATAACAGGATTAGGATCGCCGAGCAACGTCACCGCGACTTCAGCCCATGCTTGAATTCGAATTTACCTTTCCCTTGCTGGAAACAGCGTCGCTAGAGCATGGGCCAATCAGTGGCGACGCTAACGACTCTACCATAGGAGAGCGGCTTCTTGCGCGTTGCCGCACAAACGGCGGAGATTCAGCGGTTATTACTGACACCAGGACGGGCCGCGGAGTCTCAGGGGACGAGGAGGCAGGGAACTGGTGCATTCGTGAAACTGGATGGCTCTGTGAGTGAGACTGGAGGAATAATCCAACCCCAAGGAGAACGCTTCGTCTGAAGTAATTTCCAGTTCCCCGAAGGTCGTCAAACCGCCATGGAGGGTCGGGTCAGGCAGAATCGAGGAAGTGCATTATGGGTGCTTGAAAAGTGTCGAGTGCATCTCAGCCGTCCGATGAAGAAGACGGCCAATCCCGAGGAGTGCGCGGAAAGGGGGCGCCGGGGACACACTGCGGAGAGCTTGCCGGGCTGTGTGATGAAATGAGCGCCGTGAAAGTGCGGCTGTACCGGCTTTTTGGACAGGTGGTAAGTTTTGATTGCACGAATTTCACATGGAGACCTCCAGCTCCATGGTTTTCCGTTTGGAAGAACTCAATTACAAAACCAACTCGGCCATTATCTCCGATACTCAGATTTTGTCTGAGCGCGTTCTCAGGTGTAATCAACCTGGACTTTCTCAACGTTGATTGGTTGTCGCGGTATAATCACATTTCTCACGCTGGTTGAACTCATTGGGAAGAGACAAAAACGGAACCAGCTAGTTTACCCTCCCGACTTGGATACAAGTACGGAAATTTAGGTAGTAAGAGAATGAAGCCCATATAATTCACTTGGTAGTGCTCGGTAGCGCAACCGACCGCTAAACAACGCTACCGAAAGCACTAGACGACGCTACCCAAAACTATTCGGGCATGGCAGAAAACAAATAAAACCCCTAGGGAACCTGGATGCATTTTCGAAAGGAGTCAACCCTAAACAAGGAAATGGGAATTGTTTTTAGGGTTGATGCCTCCCGAGTCGCATCCCTTTCCGATTGGGTTTTATTTTTTCTGTAAAGTGGGTTGCAAGATGTGTTACGATATGAAGTTTATGAGAAGGCATTCCTGTATGCTGCAGGAGCCGACTCTACCGAGTACAAAGTCGAGGAGTCAGAAGAGTAGAAGCGACGCAGCAACCGTCTGACCAAGACCGATGCAGGCAGAAACATTTGAAGTGAAAAGAGCGGGAACATGTTCAAAACAGGTTCCCGCGCCGCACGGTTTGAAATTGCTGTAATAAGGGAATGTACCCCTTAGAGTACATGGCTAGTCTAGGTCTTTTCTTATTCCCCTGTATTCTTATATAAACTCGATGTATGCATGTTATTATCAACTCAGTCATTTACATTCACTCTGACTTGAGATTCAAACTTCCGCTGCAACACTACTCTGCGATCAACCCTGAACGATCCTTTGCTAAGTCCCACTTGGGATTGTAACATGGTATGAGAGCCACTCAGGGATTCTTCGCAACTTCATTTCCGTGAAATTCGCCGAACCAAGATCTGGCGAACGGCACACGCTCCAAGACCAAGATGGCCGGAGGATTCGGAGGCCAAGCAAATCCGACGGCTGAAGGACAAACCAACCCGGCTGCGACAAATGAGGCGACAACCACGATTGGCACTGCCGCTCTCGAGCAACTTTTCGCTCGACTTTCAACTATGGAGAAAGAACTCCAAGACCTGCGCAAAGGCGATGCGGGAACCTCTTCCCAACCAGTACAACCTGGACAACCGGCTGAGAAAAGCCATGATACCGCCGCGCATACCTTCTCCCTCGACACTGACAAATCAACAACAACTGCCCCCCGTCCAAGTGATGAAGCTATCAACTCTGCGCAAACACGCTTCCTTAGCGTTTCAAAAATCAAAACTACTGCCGCGTTTGACGGTAAAGACTTCTACACATGGAGTTTCGAGCTTGAGCTCCTCCTACAAACGGCGCAGATCTACCATTACTTCAACGGCTCCTACCCTAAACCGGTGGAAAACACCGAAGTCGCCAGAGCTCAGTACTACAGCGAGTCTCTCATGGCCTACAGCGTGCTGCTACGCAACATGACGCCTGCGGAACAACTCAACATTCGCTCCTACAAAGAGAGCGACGCTCCAGCCTTGGAAGCTTGGAAGCACCTCGTTGAAGTTTACCAGCCGAAGGATTCGGTCACCGCCAGCAGGCTTCTGCAGCAACTTTTGGAGATAAAGATGGGGCACGGGGAGAAAGCGAATCCGTATATTAACCGCTGTCGCAACATCCGTGACCAGATCACGAAGCATGGGAGTACAATCTCGGAAGAGATTTTCGTCAACATAGTCCTTCAAGGACTCGGGCCAGAGTGGAAGCCCTATAAAGCGCTACTCCGACAGCGAGGGATCATCTCTGAAGCCGCGCTATGCGCCGCACTCCTGTCCGAACAGCAGGACATGGATTCGAGCAGAACAAGCTCCGCGCCGCGCCGAGAGCGCCTCGCCTTCTACGCAGACAATCGAGAAGAGCGACGACAACCAAGGCACCATTATTGCAAAATATGCAAAGTCTTCGGACACTCAACGGATCGATGCAAATCCCGATCCAACTTCCGCCACCCAAATTCCACTCACCACAACAACTGGGTCGGCCGACAAGACGCTCGTCATTCTCAGCCTCGGCACCAGACATCTCGTCCTCCTGCACAGCATCAACATCAGCAAACTCAAGGATCCCAATCAGGAGCTCTTAGGAGCATCATCGCCAACATGGCGACGCGACGTCGTCGCACTGCTGAACCTGACGAGGAAAACTGTCAGAATCCCAACCACTAGACCATTGGGATAAAAGGGCTTGTTAAGTAGCGGGTCAGTGCGCCCATAACCCCCCAGGCCAACATGCCTGTAACCCTTCCCTAGGATCAATCGGGGATCACCAGTGGACCTCTGACACCCCCCCGCACTGGGATGCCCGAAGTGCACACACTGGGATTCGAACCCGAGACCTTCGCTCTGATAACATGTCAGAATCCCAACCACTAGACCATTGGGATAAAAGGGCTTGTTAAGTAGCGGGTCAGTGCGCCCATAACCCCCCAGGCCAACATGCCTGTAACCCTTCCCTAGGATCAATCGGGGATCACCAGTGGACCTCTGACAAAAACGAGATCCAAGGAAGACTCCTTGAGCCAGAAGAGGGTTGGAATAATCCCCTTACTGAAGATCACTATTACCTGTACGACGAAGATGAGCAAGATTGGAATCAGTCAATCACATTGCGAGAAAGCCCGCCACACGACAAACAGCTATACGTACCAGTGGGATGGAAGGAAGACGAAGACCCCTCCTTCCACAGGCGCTACAAGGCAACCCTGGTGACTCCGCGACTGGCGCTACTTCTGCGCAGGAACAACACCGACAACTACAACACCTGGTACCTGGATAGCTGCTGCGGACAGCACATGGTGGGATCCATGCGATACGTCTCGAACCTGAGTCACGCCCCCGTAATTTATGTCACCGTCGCCAACAACGAGCAGTTGCGCGCCAATTCACAAGGCATCGTCGTTCTGCAAGCACGAGACGGCAACACTCACATCTCATTCAACGACGTGCTCTACGTCCCGAATCTCCGCTTCAATCTGCTCTCGGCTGGACAACTCCGCGACTGTGGAGTCATAATACACACGGACCTTGCCACACGCGACCTCATCCTTACCTACGCTCCCCCGGATACACCTCCCGAGTCGTTGAAGTATCTCGGACGAGCACGCTCAATCAACGGGATCTATATCTTGGACTTCGACGTACCTTCTTGCCAAGCGTCATCAGACGAGCTCGTGGACCTTGTTCCTCTCGAGTTCGCCATCATGAACAAAGAATCATGGGAGCATCCGGACGGACGACCATGGGTTCGCCACAGCCCTCACCCCCGTGAGATCAACTTGCACGAACCAGACATGAATGGTCTCTGCACCACCTGCCACACACCCACTGCGAGCCGCACAGAGCAAGTCGAAAAGAACTATGCGGCGATTCAGGAAGCAGAAAGTGCCGAGGCGGAACCTACCGGCATGACCAGAGACGAGCTCGCTGTGTCATCCTACCGCATCTTCGGCGAACCATCCAATGACCCCGGACGTCAGCAAGAAGAGCGAACCTACTCCAAGAACCTCCGATTCGTCCTAGAAGCCAACACCACCACCTTCGACGAAGAAGGACGACCGCGCCCATACACTCGTGAAGTCTACCGCCGTAAAATTGATTCGGCCTGGAAGGATCCTGACGCAAAAGGGGAGCTGAGCGTCAAGGAAGAACAAGACAAGGCCCGAGCAGAAAAGAAACAAAAGTTGTATGAGGAGCGTGTCGCGGCAGGGTGGGACGAAGAGTCTGCACGACGAGGCGCATGGGGAGATGAGGATTACGAACCAGAAGGAGGCGCAACCTGGGCATCCGCAACTGGAGGATGGGGAACCAACGCCAGCGGCACGGTCACTACGGGAGGATGGGGGACAGCCGAACCTGACGAAGGGGAGCTTACGCAAGAAGAATTGGAGGAAGCTGAACGAGAGATAAAAGTTGAGCGTGGAGAAGTATCACCACGAGTCGTCATTCCCCTCGGACGACCCCCACGCACTGGTGAACCACCTCGCTCACCTCATCGCTGGAACGATCCTTGGTCGGAGATTGAGGAGGGGAATACACCACCAACTCCTCCGCGGGACTCACTTGGTCCAATCTCCCGCCCAGATCCGTTTGCTCGCTTCATCGAAGGCACCACGACCCCGCTCACCATCATCCCCGACCGAGAATTTCTCGCCCTCTACCTCACAACGGCACCTGCATAAGGGGAGGCAACGGCAGAAGCAGAAACAGAGGAGCCGGACAACGAAGCAGATGCAGGAGAAGAGGAAGA